TTTTCTTTATATTTATCTTGAAAAATATTTGATGTATATCTTATAAAGTTTTTATTTGTAAAGAATTCTGCTAATTTATCTATAAATAGGTTTACTAACCTATTGGTGATGTATTTTCATATTACATAGTAGAATTCTTTCATGCCGTTCTTGCCCGTAGATCACTGCCGAACTACGTAAAATATTTGTATTCTTTTCTTTATATTTTTACGTTAGTGTGATTGTGCATGCTTTAGGGATTAATTTTTTCCAACAATATGTATATACAATGTAGTATATATACACCAATTTTAACCAGGCTGCTGGTTACAAATCATTCCATAGTGGCACTATGGCAGTGACTTGTCAGAGCTTACCAGGATGAGGTTGAAAATACATGGTCTCCTTTGTTTCTCTATGTTTCTATTGGGATCAACTAATTAAAGCAATCAACCAAATGTTATATATATAGATATATATATATATATATACATGATATTTGTAATTACTCGACTCATTCTCTATAGGATCCACCTCAACATCAACACCATTTTCTTTTGCTTTGGAATGAAATATGATATAATATCTTTTTTCCTTTTATCAGAAATTTCCAGCATCTCTATAATTTCTAAAATAATAAATTTCATTTGTGATTGACATTAACATCCACATATAAAGTTTTGCTTCTTGTTGCCACCGGAAGAAGTGAATACTGGTTTGGACACAGATGAGTAGATTAAAACTGAACAAAAAAATTTTTCTAGACCAAATGGGATAGAATTTACTTTAAAAAATTTAAATTTAAATAATCCTTATCAATTTCTTCAAAAAAATATACCATTTATTTTGAATTATAACATACTTTATTTATCGTTTACAATTTTAACAATTTTATTTTAAAGTTTCTTTTAAAACAAATTTAAAAAATTCATAAATTAAATTATAACATGATACTTCTAGAATTGAATTATAATATTAATAAAAATTTGAAGTTTAAATTAAGTATTTACTCTGTTATAAACAATTAAAACTTATTCTTATCTTAAATTTTTTTTATAATCAGAATATTTAAAAAAAAACATTCATTAATTAAACAGGTTGAAGAATACTAATAAAATAGAGTGAGAATGAAAAAAGGGCTCCTTTGTAATCATAATTATAAAGTATCAATAAAGCCTCCATATATAATATGTATAAAATATTTTTTTGTTCAAAAGTAAGTATATCCTTGTTAATATAAGTGAAAATATTTACATTTACAGACACAACTAACTTACAATATCGAAAGAATTAAAAAAAACAATATTTAATCTCTCCAAAACACACAAATACATATGTTCACTTTAAACACTTCAAATAAATTCATAAAAAGGATGAACAAAAAGCAAATCATTATCTCAAATAATTTTTTGACAACAATCACTTGATTATTTGGAAAACCAAAATGTCAAGGTGACTTTTATTGAATGAATTAAAATTTTCAACAAAAAAAGTCAAGACACTACAACAACCATAAAAATAAAAGATTAAATATAAAACTCATTAGGAATGTATCAAGACAAGAAAACAAAAGCAGAAAGACACTCTTAGTCAAGAAAAAAGTCCCATCTCAAGGACAGTAGGCACATCCAAACACCTAATAACTCTCTAACTATTTGAAGCTAATGAGCATATTTTCAGAAAAAAAATTTCTCAATGAATTGAAAATCTAAAACATTATAAAATCTTCTTAACCAACTAGGAGAATATAATATAACATTTAATCTTATTCAAAAGGAAGATTCCCTCCATTGCAAGACTAATATAATTCAATATCGACTTGAGTCCTTCAAGAAAAATACACTTTAAATTGAATAACTTCTTAAACTTGTGTCAAAAGTTAGAAAAAGTTATTCCCCCCTTTGTGTTATTAGCATTGGACTAAAAAAAAAATTATTTTCTATGTTATTCATCTTCGATGGTGGACTTTTTAAAGAAATCCAATTAATTGCTTTTTTCGAATCATTCTCAACAAAAAAAAAATTGATATTAGGACTAGAACTAGAACTATTAGACTATTACTATAATTAAGAGGACTACGAGGAGAACTACTAGGACTACTAATACTATAACTATAGAAGGATTAAGACAATGACTAAGAGTACTTAAATGGTAAGAACCAAGATTATGACTATTAGGATTACAATAACTATTTACAACCAAGACCAAGACTATTAGAACTAGGATAAAAACAATATAACTATCAAGATGACTAAAACTAGGATTTTGGTAACTAGATTAAGATTGAGAATAGAGCTATTAGGACTAGGATTAAGATAATCACTAGAAATGAGACTATAACAAATACCTATGATTGCTAAGATTAAGATTATAGCTAATACTATTAGGATGATTATGATAAAGGTTAATATAAGTAAAATTATTAGAAATATGGCTATTAGGACTATTAATACTAAGATTGCAATTGAATAGTACTAAGACTTTATAAGTAACAATTGAATTAACAGTATTATTAGGAGTATGTCTATTGAGGCTAGGAATATGATTATTATTAATGAGACTAACAGTATTAACTAAAACTAGGAGAGCTATTATTAATAGGACTATATTAGGAATAGAACTTTTACTAAGGTTAAAACTAGAACTATTATAACTACTATATGATTCTAACTAGGAGTATAATGACTATGAATAGAATTATTAGTTAGAACTAGGAGGGCTAGTATTATTTGGACTATATTGATTAGGACTAGAACTACTACTAGGGTTAAAACTGGAACTACCATGAGTAAAATTAAGACTACATTTAGAATTAGGATGACTATAAATAGAACTATTAAACTAAAACTAATATTATGACTAAGGGACTAGGATTATCACTGAACAACTCAAATTATTAATAGGAAGATGCTTACTAGGAGTTTGACTTTTAGATTAAAAATAAGAGTTAGATTCTGGATTGAACTTAGAATGGAACTACAACTACTAGGGATACACTATAACTATTATATAAGGACTTGGACTAGGATGAGAATGATTAAATATAGAACTATGAAAACGAGAACATTAGGATTATGATACTTGGACTATAACTATGACTATTAAGACTAAAACTAATACTGTAAGTATAAGAATTAGAAGTAAAACTATGATTAAGTTTAAGAATAAGCTCACTAAGAATAGAAGCATTAGACTATGACTAATATAAAGACTAAACCTAGGAATTGTTATTAAGGAGTGTAGACTATCAAGATTGAAATTATAAAGACTTAGACTATGATTAAAACTATTAGAATAAGGATGACTAAGACTAGAACTATGACTGTGACTAAAGTTAGAAACATTAGCATTATAAGCACTATAAATACTAAAACGATAACATTATGACTATGATTACTAAGACTAACAAGATTAGAATTACAACTACAACTATTACTATGACTATTTGGACCAAGATTACAAGAACTTGGATGACCAGAATCAAGATTAGGACTTAGCCTACTATTGGACTAATATTTGGATTAGAAACCACTACTAAGACACGTGTTATAAATAGGATTAAGACTCCTACGATTAACAATGGTACTATAACTATTAGAACTAGGATTAATACTACTCTTATGACTAATAGAACTATGACTACTACTAGAACAAGAACTAAACTATTGGATTAATATGATTGGCATAACTATTAGGATAATTTGAATGATCAGTTATTAAGATAATAGATTATGACTATGAGTATTAGATATTGGATTAGCATTAAGACTATTAGGAGTTGTACTTAGATTAGGATTGAGAATTATTAGGACTAAAACAACTTGAACTAGTATTATGACTACTAGAACTTGAACTTGGATTGGGATTGATGACTACTAGGACTATGAGTATTAGAATTCGAACTAGCATCATAACTACTAGGACTTGTACTTGGATTGGAATCGATGACTACTAGGACTAAGACAACTTATAGTAAATCTATAAGAATTATTAAGACATGAGTATTACTACTAGAATCAGTAAAATTGATAGAAAAAATGTTATATTCTATATTATATTAAATAAAATAATTTTTTATATTCAATAGATGATTTTATAATTTTAATATTCTTAGTAATAATACAAGTTCTAATAGCAATGAATTTTGAATTCAAGATTTCATTAAAAACATTTCTTTGTAATTTTCAAGGCTAAGTTACATTTTCTTCTACATATTTTCAATTATTTCTTCTTACTCATTCTTAAACTTTATAATTTTTAGAGTTATAGTTAGGAACTTATAATATTCTAACCCTTATTTTTCTACACGATAATTGTCAACATACTTTTAAGTAATGAATTTCTCTCTCGCATTTAAAAAGAAAAGTTTAGATCCCAACTACTGTCCAGAAAAATAAAATTATCAAATAGATTTAGTTTTAAGCTATTTTGACTGAAAAATAAAAAAACAAAAGACAAGTCACTATAAACACCCTCTTATGATCCACAAACTTAGTTCTGCCAATTCTTTAATTGGCTTATTTGCTGAAGCTTCTTCAAAGATAAAATTTATAATTGTTCTGTAAAATAAATACTAATCTTGGTGAAGTTTATAACATAAAAAAAAATATATGCAAAGAATTCAAAGGTATATGCAAAGGTATGATATAATATTCATTGAAGAGAGAAGCAATAACTCCTTAGCCTATGAAGGTGTGCCCATAAACAGTGAAAACCAAGAGAAGATAAATTAAGAGAGAGCTGATACACACACATGCACATATTCATATATAATGTATCATCATGTGGTTGCATTGCATTGTAATATATCTTTGAATTGATAATTAATTTACGATTCCATATGCATCTGCATCTTCACTTTCCCGCCCATTCTGCTTCTACTTTAATGTCATCTAAATTGAACTGCGTGCCTTGAGTTATTTGGGGAGTAATCATGGCTTCAGTTCAGAGGAGATATATATCTATATATATATATTCTCTCGACTCCAAAGTTGCAATATAAGATCTGTCTATCACTATCAATGGAGGAAGAAGATATTTATACCAAAGACGGAACCACAGATTTTCGCAATAATCCTGCCATTAAAACTAAAACTGGCACCTGGAAAGCATGCCCTTATATACTAGGTATATATCTATCTCTCTCTTTCATTTCATACTATACCAAATAAATTATATTTCTCTTTCAAATACCATCATTAGTAAACAAACTATACGTGTCTTTAAACTAATGAGTCTTACCTCACAAACAATTCGTTGTACTTCTCTCGACAGGAAACGAGTGCTGCGAAAGATTGGCCTACTACGGAATCAATACGAATTTGGTCAATTATCTCAAGAATCAACTAAACCAGAGCAATGTTGTAGCTATAAATAATGTAACAAATTGGTCAGGCACATGCTATGTCATGCCACTCATTGGTGCATTTCTTGCCGATGCTTACTTGGGAAGATATTGGACGATTGCTACTTTTTCAACCATTTATGTCATTGTATCTTCTTCTTCAATTTCTGGGTCTTTCTCATTTTACTGATTAGCATGTTAAGAAACCATGCTTATCTGATTTAATTTTATGCAACTCCCAGTTAAAAACAATTAATTTCTAGTTGTATTCTTCCAGGGCATGACTGTGTTAACAATGTCAGCATCTATCCATGGGCTGAAGCCGATTTGCCATGAAAACAATGTTTGTCATCCAACAAAATTACAAACTGCTGTGTTCTTTCTTGGACTCTACTTGATAGCACTAGGAACTGGTGGGATTAAGCCTTGTGTTTCGTCATTTGGAGCTGATCAATTTGACGATTCTGATGAAGCTGAGAAGAAGAAGAAAAGTTCTTTCTTCAACTGGTTCTATTTATCCATCAACATCGGTGCACTTATTGCTGCTTCTGTACTGGTCTGGATACAAACAAACGTGGGTTGGGGTTGGGGATTTGGTATTCCAGCTGTAGCCATGGCTATAGCTGTTGTAAGCTTCTTTTCGGGTACCCGGTTGTATAGAAACCAGAGGCCTGGTGGAAGTCCCTTGACCCGAATTTGCCAGGTTCTTGTAGCTTCCATTAGGAAATTTCGAGTCCAAGTTCCTGCAAACGAGTCACTTCTCTATGAGACTGCAGATGAAGAATCTTCAGTAAAAGGTAGCCGTAAGCTTGATCACACAAAGCAGTTAAGGTACGTATTAGTCCAGTTTAGAACAGTTTTTGACTATAGCGTGTACAGATCGATATCTTATATATGTACTGTATATTCTTGTGGTCAGTTTCTTTGACAAGGCAGCTGTAGAAACTCCATTAGATCGTGTCAAAAGCTCCATAAATCCATGGAGATTATGCAGTGTGACTCAAGTTGAAGAGCTCAAATCAATTATAAGACTACTTCCTGTATGGGCAACTGGGATTGTCTTCTCTGCTGTATACAGTCAAATGGGCACCTTATTTGTTCTACAAGGCAACACAATGGACCTTCACCTAACCAAATCCTTCCAGATCCCTTCAGCTTCACTTTCCCTCTTCGACACAATCAGCGTCATCTTCTGGGTACCAATCTACGACCGTCTGATCGTGCCATTGGCATCAAAGTTCACAGGCCACAAAAATGGATTCACACAACTTCAACGCATAGCAATTGGCCTTGTCATTTCGATTTTCGCCATGTTAGCAGCCGGGAGTCTAGAACTTTTTAGACTTGATTTGGTGAGAAAACACAATTACTACCAAGTAAAGAACATACCCATGTCAATCTTTTGGCAAGTTCCTCAATACTTGATTATAGGTTGTGCTGAAGTTTTTACCTTCATTGGACAATTAGAGTTTTTCTATGACCAAGCCCCAGATGCCATGAAGAGTCTTTGCTCAGCTCTGTCACTCACAACTGCTGCTTTAGGAAACTACTTGAGTAGTCTGCTGGTGAAAATTGTGAGTGATGTAAGTAGCAGACATGGTAGCCATGGTTGGATTCCAGACAACTTGAATTATGGCCATCTTCACTACTTCTTTTGGCTTCTGGCTGTTTTGAGTTTCATCAATCTGGGATTCTACCTTCTGGTTGCAAGATGTTATACGTATAAGAGACCATTAAACAATAATTAATTAAATTAATTAAATCCCAATTAATTTCTTGTTGTAGAGATTTGATTAATACAGTAATTTGCATAAAGAAAATATTATTTGAGAATGATTATTATTATGAAGTCAAGTTTGTACGTGATGTGATTGAGACATTTTGGAAGAAACATATAAAAAAAAACAGAGGTGAATTTGACAACCATTTGTTGAATTTTTATGAAAAATACTTTGAATATTAGCTGTGAGTCCAAATTGCTGATCGCTTTGGATGATATATATATATATATATATATATATAATGTTTTCACACTTCCTTGTCCCTCCAGACCTAAAATTAAATATTTTCTTTCACACCAATATATATATATATATAGAGAGATAGATATGTATCTCGTTTTCACACTTCCTCATCCCTCACAAAACCTAAAATTAATATCTGCTTTCACACCAATCTGTAGGGTTTCGTTAACATGTGTTCATGATCCACTGCAGTGGAAAATGCATGTTTCTATTAAATTGTAAATATATTCAAATGGTTTAGTATACACACACATATATATGTCTATAAATTAATTTTATTGTTGTCCATTTTTAAATAGTTAAAAAAATTTCCATTTTAATTTAATTTCTGATTTGATTGAAATAGTAAAAATTATGAATTGTGTCTACAAATTAATTATATTTCCGTTTATATTTTATTTTTAATTTATTCGTTCCAAATATTAAAATTAAATTTCGTTGAATTGGTATTCTTTCCTTTTTTTTTATTTTTATAATTTCAAATAATTTTTTTAGATAAAATTAATTAAAAAATCAATAAACTTACATGCATATTTTTCTAATAAATAATTTTATATATTTTATGACAACTATAGAATAACTGTGAAATATAACTCTTAATTTATATTCTAATTATTATTTTTATTTATTAATTTTTGGCATAACATTAATTAATAGTCAAAATAAATAATTATAAAATATTTTTTTTTTTAGAGAAAGAAAAAAAAAAAGAAAAGGAGAAATTCATAACGTATTTATGAGTCCAAATAGTCAAATACCGTAACTGAAGATTCCGCATCGTCATGACTAGAAAGCCAGATACCCTCTTTATAGTTCGTGTTTCAGATGATTCTCTCATCTTTATACGTACTTGCATTCTTGGCGCGTGGCGACACGTTCCAAACATTATATTTGCGTTAACATCCTTTTACTTTCATTTTTTTTCCTTTTCTAAAACCTAAAAAGTATTTAATTCAAAAATATGATTTATTTGACCCACCAGAATTAGGTTAATTAACAAAAACAATAAATATTATATTTTTATTAATTGAGCTTTATTTTTTAAAATAACAAAAATAATATATTTAAATTATTAGACGAAAATTTGGCGTTGACGTTAAAAACACTAATTTTATAGGAAATACAAATTTGGTGAGATTGGTTTTCTTGATATTTTATCCTTTTTAAAAGAAAACTATATACTTATCTTATTAAAATCTAAAAACCCAAAACTAGTAAGATTTATGGAGTAATTAGAATTTTGATTAATAAAGTAATTAAAACTTCAAACTGAGATTAGAAAACTAGAATAATTTTATACCCAAAATCTTCTACTAATCATGATGCACAATCAACTTGGCATTACTCAATCAAATTGTTGTAAGGCCACCGCTACACACAATCCCGCACGTATATCTAATATACCATTAAATACTACTATTTTACCCTACACGCCTCACCTATTTACTGTTATCAAAATCCATCCTCTTAAGGGTATCGCAAAATATATAATAGACCCTTAAAAATATTTATATGTAAATAGAGAATAGTTGAGGGACGGTTTTGCAAAAATAAAAAATTGATTTTCTGCGGAGATAAACTGGTATTTGGCACCCAATTGCACCAAAAAAGTAAAAGATCGTCTCTGACTTGTTTGGCTGCGTGAGTACGAGTGTGAGCGAGTAGGAAGCGGAGCTCGTAGGATTCCTGCTTTTGCTCGCAGTATTCGTTTTCATATTTAATTCCACCATAACCAAGTATAAATTCTCACTTATCACCCCTCTCTTCTCTCACCCATCTCCTCCTTTCACTCCATCAATCAACGGTATGTACTCTCCACTCCAATCTCTCACTGGTGCTTACTCTGTCTCCATGCAACTAAGATTTAATGGGTATTTTTCTGGTGTTTCGTAAGGATCTGGGTTTGATCAGTTTCTTTCAGGAATTCCACAAACGAACAGACTCGAAATTCTCTGCTTGTTTTACTGACGATTGATTTTTGGGTTTAGTTTTCGACCACGTTTCTGGCTTTGATCATGTGGAGATTCCTGATTATAGTTTTTGGTCTTCCTGATAAAAGTGCCCCTCCGTTCTTAATCTTGATTTACTGTGATGAATCTTCAAATTTTTGTTCTTTTTCCGACAATTTACAGCGTTATATGTATGCTTTTCTCGCTGAAGCAATTCGTAGCATGACTTGGTTTGACCTTCACTAATTTAAACATAATTTAACCAAAAAAGATAGTGACTAGTTGGTTTCACGCATCTTTCCTTTAATTTTGAAATTAGTAAATTCCATTTTTATTGATTCTTTGATAATGGGTCATGGATAAGATCTTTTATGAGTGCTTATTATGCTCCCGTATTCATCTTCATCTTCATCTTCGTCTCCATCGCTTTTACTTTTAATTATTATTACAGATGTCCCACCTGGTATATATTATTAAAAAAATCAATTTGCTTTGTGCTACTTCTAAAGTCAACCTAATGGCCGCACTTCTCGTTAAACTCCTCTGGAGTTCATAATTTCGTTTTGCTTTTCAGATTCCTTAATCATATTTCGCGTGCGTGGTTCTGTTAGATTTTCATTTTTATGAAAGTTAAACAAAAGGGACCATTCAAATGAAAGTATTGCCGAGTTATGCTGCATCAGTTGTGCCAGAATAATGGGTAGAATTGTTTAATGTGATCAGATTCTGTTAGTGACGCTATATTTAAGATGTACAGTAATAATCTATGCTGTAAATTAGTTTCTTTGGCAGCATGTTTGACCTGATTAGTTTAATAGTTTTATTTTTATTTTTGGAAAAGATAGTTTAGTAGTTTTTTTATTCTGGTTGATTCCTGTTAATCAGAGAAAGAGTCTTCAGGGAGAACATATAAAATTTTATTAAGTGCTTAGGATTCATCTGGGTTGCTCTCATATTCCAGACTATTATCATGAAGGGCCTTGAACAATAGTAGCATAAATTGGTCTCTGTGTCTTATGATTGGAGATTAATTCATTCTGCACAATTGTGTGTTTGGAACAGCAGTTTTTTAGTCTGAGGATAGCAAATCTTCCAAGCATACCATGGATGATTATGATAACTATACGCATGATGGGACAGTGGATATGAAGAAAAATCCTGCAAATAAGAAAACAACAGGAAATTGGAAGGCTTGCCGGTTCATTCTTGGTATATATTTTCTTCCATTTCCTTCTTTTCCTAAAGATATGTTATTTCTATCTGATATGGTGATTGCTGCTATATGTTATGTCTGTAGGAAATGAATGTTGTGAAAGATTGGCATACTATGGGATGAGCACCAACCTTGTTAATTATCTCATAACACGTCTGGGTCAGGGTAACGTTGCTGCATCAAACAATGTCACAAACTGGGGAGGAACCTGCTATATTACACCACTGTTTGGAGCATTTCTAGCTGATGCATATTTGGGAAGATATTGGACGATCGCCATTTTCGTGATGATCTATGTCTCTGTAAGTTCAAACTTGGAGTTGCTTATATTTTCTCCAAGGTTTGAGTAGTCAAATCTTCGGATATCTCAATCAAAACCAAACTAAGCTTTTTCGCTCAATATATGTAGCTGATTTCATTTTTCTCATACTGTTCATCATAAATCATTCTGCAACTTCTCACTGTTGAAATGCAAAGGATTGCATCTAGTTTCTATTTTAGATGAGGTTATTTTATGATGCCTTGGAGGCACCAGGCCTTGAGGTAATCTTTTAGTATTTCATAAGAATCTAGTACCTTTGTGCAGTAATCACCCAATATTGGCTAGAAACTGAAAATTACTTTAAAACGTTAGAAATTTACCTTGTAAGCAATATAGATTTTCCCTTTTAGATGACCTTATGCCGAATATCTGCATTATTCTTTTTTCTTTTGGGAAATTATCAAAAATTTTGTTCTTTTTGTGATAGGGGATGACACTTCTAACACTGTCAGCTTCAGTCCCTGGACTAAAGCCCTCATGCAGTGGGGATGTTTGCAACCCAAAAGCAGGACAAACTGCTGCCTTCTTTGTAGCACTTTATATGATCGCTCTTGGAACTGGGGGAATCAAGCCATGTGTTTCATCCTTTGGAGCAGATCAATTTGACGAAACTGACGAGTATGAGAAGAAAAAGAAGAGCTCGTTCTTTAATTGGTTTTACTTTTCAATCAATGTCGGTGCACTAATTGCTTCAAGTGTTCTGGTCTGGATTCAAATGAATGTGGGCTGGGAGTGGGGTTTTGGTATTCCAGCAGTTGCAATGGCCATTGCAGTTATGTTTTTCTTCGCAGGTAGCCGCTATTACCGACTTCAGCTGCCTGGAGGAAGTCCACTTACAAGAATTTTTCAGGTAATAGTGGCATCTTTTAGGAAACTGAATGTGGAAGTTCCTCGGGACAAATCTCTTCTCTATGAGACTCCAGATGAAGAAAGCAACATCAAAGGCAGTCGGAAGCTTGAGCATACAGACAAGTTCAAGTAAGGAATTCAATCCACTATCTCAATTGGCAACGGCCAACAAGTTGTTTTCAGTCTTTCTAATATTTGTATGTAATTTTTGAGTTGCAGCTTATGAGTTCTGGCACATATTCTCATTTATTTCTAGTTAAAGCTAGGTGTTGATGTACATAGAAATGATACCAGAGGTTCAGTTTATTAACTTCTAATGTGTATTTATGTATACAAAACAACCTTGATTTTGGACAACCTTGGATTTTCAGCTTGTTCTTAGTTGCTGAGTTTGACTGTTAAATTATCTGGTATGTAATAAGAATTTGTAAATCCCAGATTCTTTGACAAGGCTGCTGTGGAGACCCCGAATGATCAGCTCAAGAGTGTGGCAAACCCATGGAGCCTCTGCACTGTAACACAAGTCGAGGAGCTCAAGTCTATTATTGGCTTGCTTCCAATATGGGCATCTGGTATAGTATTTGCTACTGTCTACAGTCAAATGAGCACCATGTTTGTCTTACAAGGCAACACAATGGACCAACACATTGGCCCTCATTTTGAGATTCCATCAGCATCCCTCTCCCTCTTCGACACTGTCAGTGTTCTCTTCTGGGCTCCTATATATGACCAATTCATTGTCCCATTGGCAAGGAAGTTCACTGGCCATGATCGAGGTTTCACCCAGCTTCAGAGGATGGGCATTGGCCTTGTCATCTCCATATTTGCCATGGTTGTTGCTGGGATTTTGGAGGTTGTCCGACTTCACTATGTGAGAGAGCATGGTTTCTTTGATGTTAAGCAGATTCCCATGTCAATTTTCTGGCAAGTACCGCAGTACTTTCTTATTGGGTGTGCTGAAGTTTTTACTTTCATTGGGCAGTTGGAGTTTTTCTACGATCAGGCACCCGATGCCATGAGAAGTTTGTGCTCAGCTCTCTCACTTACGACTGTGGCCTTAGGCAACTACTTGAGCACCGTGCTTGTTACCATTGTGACTAAAGTGACTACAAAAGGCGGAAAGCTTGGCTGGATTCCAGATAACTTGAACAGAGGCCACCTTGACTACTTCTACTGGTTATTAGCAATCCTCAGCCTGCTTAACTTCTTCGTTTATCTTTGGATCGCTAAGTGCTATACTTACAAGAAGACTGCAGGAAGCACCCATTGACAGAAGCATCTGGTTTCTGAATTTCATTTTAAATCTTCCCTCATTTAGTAAGATCAGTATCTATTTTGGAAACAAGGCTATTTGTAGTTATGATTGAACTCAAAATTTGTCAATATAATTGCAGAATTTTGTTTATATTGAGTGTCAATGCTAATCTGTTCATTAACACTCCAATTGGAGGTGCACAGTTAAAGTCTGTTGACAATTTCACAATTAAGTATATTACTGTTTTAGCATAGCCTGAGGTAGAATAAGAGATTAAGAGGGGAAGAGGAAAACAAAATTGATATTTATAATCTCACTTAAGTTAAAGTTCATCCTATATTAAATATCACTATTCAATTAATTTTTTTTTTTTTTAGAAAAATGAACAATTATAATTTTTTCTATTAAATTTAATGATAAATAAATTAAAAATTATTATATCTCAACTTAAAATTACGACTGTAAATTTTTTTCCATCTTCCTTTTACACCCAGTTGAAAAAGTAAAAGCAAAAACAAAAAAAAAAAAACATAAATTGCTGGGACCGAAAAGGAAAGTAGTGACAGTTACATTTGCATGTTTTAAGTGGTGGAATGGATAATGCACAAGAATGAGAGGTGCTGAAAATTATCAACTGTTCATTTAAAAATATAGTTCTTCACTAGCCTCCCCACCAAACACACAGCAAATCAAAAGATGATTGCACTCAAAGCAATTCAAACCTCTTTGTCCCTAACCAAACATGCCTCTTTTCATCCAAGAAGATTCACCAACACAAACAATTCCATCCTCTGTCTCTGCAAGTCCAATGATTCTGATTCCGAATCTACCTCACCAGAAGGAGATACTCGTAAGCAAGACTTGCTGGCTAGGATTGCAATGCTTCAAGCTCAAAAAGTCCGCCTCACAGATTACTTGGATGAAAGATCTGCTTATTTAACCCAGTTTGCTGAAGAAGCCAACGCAGAGTTTGACAAGATAGGAGAAGAAGCTCTCAAAGGACTTGACGAAGCTGGCACCAGGGTAGGGTCTGTATAACTTGTTATAATTATATAATTATCCTTCCATGCAATGCACACAGCTGGGGCCCTTGCTTGCTATTCATAACCCACTTCTTATTTGTTCACTAGCAGATCATGGAGAATATTGAGAATCAAATGCAAGCTTTCGAAGAATCTGCAGAAATCAACAGAAAAGATATTGAGATGAATGAAAACCAGTTAGCCAATTTTGAAGACCAAATTGAGAAAGAGAGGAATGAAGGGCTGTTCTTTAAAAATTTAAGGGAGCAAAAACCAGTGGAGAAGGTAAAAGCAACGGAAGAAACAAAAAAGATGAAAGAGCTTGCTAAAGAAAGTGCTGGATCAAAAACTAGAAGGAATATCTACCTGGCGTTAATTAGTCTGCTGATCCTAGGGATTGCTGACTCTTTTATCTCCTCACCTGATTGGCGTAAGGTTGCAGTTCTGGGAGCCATTCTAGTGGCCTTGTCTTCTCAGTTTATCTATGAACAATCCTTGTTATCAGAAGCGGAAGAAAGAGAAACCAAAAAAGTTGATGAAGAAAAGAACTGAAGTTCATGTTGTAAAGGCCATTCATTTTCTCAAAGGAATATAACTTGATAATATAGACCCAAGTGAAAACTTAACGCTTGGGCTTGATACATCAAGCCACTTTGCTTTGGCATCATCAACATTACGACCTTGGTAATATCACTACAATCACCAAAGCTAATGCGATTTACCATGATGCAGTTGTGAATTTCTGTTAACTACAAGGTTTGAACACCAAAAATAGTGGGCTAGTGCACATGCATAGCTGAAGAACGGAGATTAGATGTGTGTGCCTCTGTTTATAAATGTTTTTTTTTACTGGAGAACTTCCACATCAGCTGTTTGCAGGTAGACTTGGCAGCTAATGCTTACAAAAAATTTCATTCCTTTTCCTGAACGATAGTATAGTTCACCAACCTACTTTTGACTTCTAGAAGCAACACATAAAGGTAGCAGTTGCTTGTAGAGACATAAATTGGCATTTGTGTATTCTCATTGGTCAATTTAGTACATCACCTGCTATTTTTCCATGGAGAATGATCAATAACTTCCAGTCATTTATCTGTTGCTCAAATATCTGCATCGTATATCATATCAAGAGCTACCGCTTTTAACATCAGTTTGATGTTAATGATGGGAAGATGGAATATAATTTCTCGGTTATAAAATAAAGGAGTTGAAGGCTTAACTCGGTAATCTGGATTCTGGAGGACTCACCATCTTGCCAAATAGATGAACTGCAGTCATTTTCAGAGCATGGGGAGAATATCAAACCCAGCCTGCAATTAGTGAAAAAATATTAGAAAAAAATATCTTCAATGACTGCCTTAAGTGTTCCTCCAGTCTTTTGCCAGAGACCAGAACTTTTTTCCAGGAGATGGAAGGACTCCCAGCATGTATAAAACTCACCCAACGATCACCTGCCATAATCTTTCGCAACGAAATCATGCATTCTTATGCCATAATCTTTCTCTAGAGAAAGAAAAATGTAGCTTTAACCCCACTTTGAAAAGATTATGATTTCTAATAAGCTTTTTCTTCATGCAGATAGAAATTAGAAGTTGCTGGGGTCAAATAATGAAACAATTCTAAACTCCATAGGATCGCATGTGAGCACCATCATTTAGCACTGCTCTCACAAGTATGTCCCATGTAATGAAAGTTGGAGAAATACCACAATCCAAAGCTTCACCAAAGAACCCAACGGCATCTGATACTCTATTGCAGGAACATAGTCCCTTGAGCTTAATATTATAAGAGACAATATCAGGCTGTAGACCATATTCAAAGATAGAAGCCCAAATTTCTGATGCCTTCTCACAGTCTCTTGCTTTGTAGAACCCCTCCATGAGAGTGTTGTATGTTACAAGATTTGGAACACAGTTGGATTGCCTCATCTTTGCATAAAGTTGCATGGCATCCTCAACTTTTACCACAGAACAAAGTCCATGAATTATGATGTTGTACATAGTTACATCTGGCTCAAAACCCTTATCAAGAACTTGTTTCCACAGGTTCAAGGCCATTTCAATCTTCTTGTCTTGACAAAGGCCGTCAATCAACAAGCTATAGGTGATCATGTCTGGTTCCCATCCCTTTTCAAGCATTTCCGTTAGAAAAAGATACGCCTCAGCAAATTTTGTGGCTTTACATAAACCATGAATAAGAATGTTATATGAGACAATAGTTGGTGAACAACCCTTGGTTTCCATTTCCCTGAGTAAGCAAACTGCATCCTCAAACTTCGAAATTTGGATTAACCCATTAATCAGTACATTGTAAACATGAAGGTTTGGTTTACAACCATACACATCCATCTGGCTCACTACATTAGCCGCTTCATTTAATCTCCCTTCCTTGCATAACCCATTAACTATAGAGGAATATGCAAAGGCATCTAAGTCCCCTCCTTGACTTTCTGCATCTTTCAATATATGTACAGCTTTATTCACATACCCGTTCTTACACAATCCATGAATTAAAACCCCATAAGTTATGGAATCTGCACAAAAGCCCTTTTCAGGCAAGAGTTCCCAAATTGAAATAGCTTCATGAACCTTTCCATTCTCTAGTAACCCTCTGATTAATATGTTAAAACTCACAACACTATGGCAGCCTGCATTCTCCATGACATCCCACAACTCGAGACACTCTTTAATTTTTCCTGCTTGACAAAACCCATTAAGCATTGCATTATAAGTAACTATATCCGCAAATAATCCACTTTCAATCATTTCTCTATACACTCTTTCAGCCCCATCAATGTTCCCTGCCTGACATAACCCGTGTATCAAACTACTATAGGTAAATAAATCCTTCCCTCTCTCATTCTTCTTCATTCTATCCCATATTTTCAAACACTCGTCAAACCTGCCGCATTTGCACAAACCATTAATCATAACATTATACGAACTGACGTTCGGATAAACCGAAGACTCCTCCAATAATCTATCCCAGACCTTAACAGCATTCACCCAATCCCTTCTCTTGAAAAATCCATCAATCAATATATTATAACACATGACATCAGGTGCCAATCCTCGTTCAAACATTTCATCGAACAACTCTTGTGCACCCACCAAATGGCCGCATTTTGCTAACCCATTAATCAGAGTACCGTAACTATACAAATCCGGATTCAAACCCTTTTTCCACAACCAATCCAACAACTCCTTTGCCTTCTGAAATTGCTTCTTCTTACATGATATCTTGATCAAAATATTATAAGTCTGCAAATTCGGCGCCACTTCAGCCATTTCAAAGTACGCAAAGAACGACACAGCTCTATCCCACTGGTTCGACTCAACGAACGCATTGAGCAAGGAATTGTACGACCTTATTCCAGGTTCACACCCGAAAATCTCAGTCACTCTTCGGAAAACATCCAAAGCTTTATCGGGGCATTAAGTTATTTGCATATGTTTTTATCACAGTCAAAGCTATATCTTCTGAGCATGGGCATTTCTGGTTCTGGATGAGCTCCACAATTCGACCCACGTGATTGACAAGTCCCGACTGGGCGAGTCGGCGAAGAATGTAGTGGAACACGGGAGGTGAGTGCACGTAACCAGGATGGCGAGTCGCCGAGTCGAACAAAGTGAGTGCCGAGTTCGGATTCTTCTCTGCTTTGAGTAGCTTGAGGACCCGCTTCGGTGATAGTGACTTAGGGAACTGGACCATGAGAAGGTTTGTAACTGTCTAGCCTTTGTTTGCCTCATTTTGGTGTCATATCTTTGAGAAAGAGATTTTCCGGCGAGGGATTCAAGCCTTTCACCGATTAGAAAACGAGACGGCAAGAGAGAGGCAAACGCAAACCAGTTCCAGGTCTCTTCACATATGTTGGGTCCGACCCATTAAATCTAAGCCAAAATTTTCTCTTTATAAGCATGGGAACTGGAGGCGTCAAGACTTCCGATGTTTATATATTTGTAAATTTATTTATATAAATATAAATTCCTATTATAAAATATATTAAGGTTGTTTGTATTTATTTTTTTTTTAAATTGCTATTAAATTTTAAAGAATGTATATTAATCAAATTATTTTTTTTTAGTTTTAGACATAATTAAACATGTAACAGCTCCGAAAATTCAAAAGGAAATACATATAATAATCTGAGTGCGGAAGCAAAATAAAAAATTAAGATTAACATCCCTTACACAATAACTTAAAAGTATTAAACAATATCACAGAATAAATTCTCTAAAAAAAATAAGAGAAAGTGAAAAAAAAAAAAAAAACTATAAAACATCTAGTATTTACTCGCCGTCTTCTTGTGGATCGGGCTCGGGAACCAGGTTCTCCTGATATGAAATAGTTAAATAAGGAATGAGTTACACTAACTCAGTAAGGATATCACACTATATCACCATCATAGAAGTAAAGGTTGGTAGAAAATCAAAAACAACCAATGGAGCATAAATTTTAAACCAAAACATTTATTTAAAATAAAATCACTTACCCTTTTTCTTTCCCTTGGAGAACCTGTGAAACCAACTTATAAGTACAATAACATCATACAGATCACAATTTCATGCATAATCAGCAACATAAAATATATCATAAATCCGTATTCATTAACAATAACTGATTATCACTGTTTTCTTGTTTTCACCAACCTACTAATATCCATGGGGATCCATAGGTGTGTTTCCCGGCTACACGTGAACCCTTTTTCTTAAAAGTCTTAATTCGAGGGTCGTCCTCATACCCCGTCCGGTATGAGCACCAAGATATTAAACCTCAATATCTCGTCCGGTATGAGGGTGAAGCGAGCCGTCCCCATACCCCGTCCAGTATGAGCGCCAAATGACCAAGTCTCCATACCCCGTCCGGTATGAGACGACGTTCACGGTAGGGTTCCCTATGAACCCGGTCCGTCCACTATCTCCTAGGATATCTAGTGAGGCTGTCACCTTGTCTGTTTTTCCTTAGTCTCCGTTACCAAGTTAAACATAATCACATAAACAATAAACATGCACCCGGTAATACAATCATATCTTAAATTCTAAAATCACACAATGGTCAAGTAAGACAGTAACACATGCATTTAAAACCATAAAATAGATAGAGCAGATACCATAATGCATTTAAACTGTAAAATAAATTAAGCAGAAATCGACAGAGAATAATGTCCGATTTCGGGCTCCATTAGCAACCTTAATTAATTATGCATATCTATTAATTTGCACAAAATACAGTATTACCATTTATTCGAACTTTAATTCCATTATATGAAATAGGGTGAGGGGTCCTTACTTGATTTGACGTCGAAAACTAGATTGTAACTACGTCTACGGGCGATCCCTGGGTTTCCTAAATTTTTTTCGGGAACTGAAACGCGCTTACAGTACCTACACATGTCCCAAGTAACCCAAAAACATACCCGGGGCCTACTCGGCCAATTTCAGAATTCCGGCACGGCGGCTCCACTGTGCTTCGGCGACGGCGCCACCGCCCGCAGTGGCAATCCACCTCCGGTTGGTAGTTTTCAGCCATTTTCGGCCGAATTCAGCCAAACTTGCATCGGTTCCTATGAAAAAAAACACTTAAGGCCCTCGGTGGGCCGAAAAAATGTAGAAAACCGAAACTCACCGGCAGTGGGGCTCTCCAGTGCGGCGGCTCCTCCGACTCACGTTGCGATTGGGTGTTTTGCTCTAGTCAACCTGTAGATGAGGAAATAGTAATCACAACGGTGAAAAAATCACATCGAACGGGAATCGGGAAGGGTCTCATCAGAGGCAAAAATCGAAACACCCCGCGTCGGTGTCGTTGAGCTTCGGCGGTATTTTTCGACCAATTAGCCGGTGCTTTCGCTCCGATTTGGCCATAGGTGGGTTTGGAATCAAATTCTGAGCAAAGAGTAGAATTTTTAACTTGTTTGGCGGCCGAAAATTGCTCCGGTGCGGCGGCGGTTGGGTTGTCTTCCCCGGCGGAGGGCTCTGGCGGCTATGGTTAAGGTTTGGGTGCGGATGGGGTTATTTATACCCATCCACTTTTGATCTGAGCCGTCCATCGCTTTTAATCTGGACCGTCTGATCGCGATTAAATAGTAAGTAAATTTGAACCGTTCATCGCAATTCAATCTGGGACATCCGTGCGCGATGCAATCTGGGCCGTCCGTGCACATTTTTTATCTGGGTCGTCCGTGCGCGCAGGAATGGATCTCAGCCGTTCTATCGTGCGCACGCGGATCACCCACGTGGCTCCCTCCCGCGTCAGTGTCTCTGCCACCTGGCGCGTCCTGGTTGGTCGGGGTTGTTGACTGGGCAGCTGACGCGGCACAACTGTTCTAAATTGCATTTTGACTTTCGGTTTCCGATTTTTCTTTTAAAAATACCCCCAGAACCCAAATTTTCACCCATTTTCCCCAAAATTATTTTTAATTAAATCTCTAAACAATTTTTACCCTTTATTATTATTATTATTATTTTTATTTTTATTAAAATAAATTAAATTCAATTCAATTCAATTAATACATATTTATATTTATATAGAATTAATAAAAATAAAACAAAATAAAAATAATAAAAATAGTTGGGTGTTACAACTCTCCCCCCTTAAAAGAAATTTGATCCCTCAAATTTTTGTCTCTTACTCTCGATCGAACAACTAGAGGTACTGGGCTCTAAAGTTTGATTCTAGCTCCCATGTCGCCTCCCTTGGTGTGTGGTTCTGCCATACGACCTTTACAAATAATATTTTTCGGTTGCGGAGTAATCTGCTCTTTCGATCCGTAATGCCGACTGGTACTTCCTTGTAGGATAAGTCCTCTTGGAGTGGAAGAGGTTCGTGGGCCAAGACATGAGAGGGGTCCGGGTTGTACTTGCGTAACATGGACACATGAAACACATTGTAGTCATGGGTGGGATAATTTTTCTCATAACTCTTTAACTGTCTAGACCCAAAGGCTATGACCTTCCCATGCTGCATTAAAACACAATCCAGGCCTAGATAGGAGGCATCACTGTAAATTGTATATCCCCCCAATCCACCCGGTAAGGCCGGCACAGGTGCAGTAGTCAGCCACTTCTTTAGTTCTAAAAAATTTCTTTCACAGTCCTCATTCTACTCAAACTTGGTATTCTTCTTTGTGAGTCGGGTTAGGGAAGTAGGTAGACTAGAAAATCCTTCAACAAATCTGCGGTAATAGTCCACCATTCCCAGAAAGCTATGGATTTATTTAACTGATATCAATTTCTCCCAACCAAGCACCGTTTCAACCTTTTCAAGATTCACCGATACTCTATCCTTTGATATAATGTGTCATAGGAAGGTGGTCTGCTCAAGCCATAATTCACACTTACTCAACTTTGAATACAGCTTCTTTTTTGTGAGAACCTGAAAAACCTGAGCTAGGTGGTGAGCATGTTCCTCTCTGCTTTTTGAATAGAATAGGATGTCATCGATGAACACGATAACAAATTGATCTAAGAATTGTTTGAAGACCCTATTCATCATATCCATGAAGATGGTTGGGGCGTTGGTTAGTCCAAATGGCATGACCAGAAACTCATAGTATCCGTACCTGATTCAAAAAGTCGTCTTAGGGATGTCTTCTGTCCTTATTTTCACCTGATGGTAACCTGATTTTAGGTCTATTTTGGAGAAGACCTGTGCACCCTGCAACTGATCGAAGAGGTTATCAATCATGGGAAGGCTATACTTATTCTTGATTGTGACCCTATTCAACTCTCTGTAATCAATACATAGTCTCAATGTTCCATCTCTCTTTCTGGAAAAAGTGACTCTGGCACCCCAAGGAGATACACTATGTCTGATAAAACTACTGTCTTGTAATTCAGTGATATGTTTCTTCACCTCCTCCATCTCAACACGGCTCATGCGGTAAGGAGCAACCGAGATAAGTTGGGTGTCTGGCTGTAGATCTATGGTGAACTCGACTTCCCTGTCCACTAGTAGTCCAGGTAGTTCATCCGAAAACACATCTGGAAAGTCTCAGATTACTAGAATCTCTTGAATACGATTCTCTTTCTTGGGTTTGCCTAATTAGAGAAAATAGCAAGGTTAAGATACTCGACAAATAAGAAAACTTGCCATCAAGGAATAAGTATTAAATAATTTTATTAATTTATAAATGGCTCCTCATTAGGAGGATTGAATACAATCTTCTTGCTAAAATAATCTACGGTGGCATGATACACCGCTAGCCAATTCATCCATAAGATTACATCAAAATCCCCCGTGTCTAATTCTATTAGGTCTACACTCAGTTTTCTATTTGCTATCTCTACGGCACAAGCCTTGTAGACAACTTCTCCCAATAGTGTTACACTCCCAACAGTAGACACAAATAATATTGAATCAAGTTTATCAGGTAATACATTAAAATTGGATGCAAAAACAGGTAAAACAAATGAATGTGATACACTAGTGTCAATTAAAATATGAGAAAGATGGTTACAGATAGTATACATATCATGTACCACGTCCGAGTCGGCTTCGGCATCCTGCTGGGTGAAGTTGTAAGCCCTGCCCTATATAGGAGGTCTTCCCTGATTCTGGTTCCTTGGGCACTCTCTCGCATAGTGTTGGGCACTACCACATATGCGACAGGTGTTGTTGAGGCGGTAGCATGGTCGGTCCCCGTGATCCCTGCCGTAATGCTGACAGATCTTACCACGTCCTGCCACTGGAGCCTGGATCACCAGTCTGGGCCTCTTGTTCTGTTGGAAATGCACAGTAGGTGCTGGTCTACGAGGTAGAGCTGAGGGTCTGTGGTTTCCTGCTGACTGAGGGAGGGTGTGGAGGCTCCTCTCCACTAACATGACTTGGCCAGAACGATCGAGTAAGTCCCGAGCTCCAGTACATATAAATGCTGTTTGATCTCTGGGCGAAGGCTCTACTGGAACCTCCTAGCCTTCCTGCCCTTAT